GGGAAAGAAAAAAAAAATACATATATTCCACTTTAAATTGTAAATGTCGCATCTTCTGTGAAGAATCTGTCTTCAATAGGAATTAGATTGAGCCCTCATTAGAAAAAAGTATAGATGGCAGAATCTGTCAGATGAGATGAAAGCTTGGCAGCTGGCACTTGTTTTTAACATTTGATGAACCAAAATAGGACTACAGTATCATTCTGAAGGGCAAGCGCTGATGGGCAGGGAAAGAAGTTCATATATGAATCAAGACTCTTCTAGTAAAGTTCGTCTAATTTATTCTCAAAAACAGCTTAGAGCAGCCTAGTGTTGAGTTTTTCATTTAACTGAAGAGGTTTGATGTCTTCAAGGTAAGATTATGCCCTAATACTCATATTCAGCCTGCTGTCTCGACAGCTGACCCAGAGAAAAACTGACTTACATCCTGTTGATTTTTAGCATTAATTCGATCAGTGCATAGTTTTCCCTATCCTATAACAGTTCTCAGGACTACGGGGATTTTTTTAGCTTTTAAAAATCATTACTGTATTTATATTCTGTGCCATATATCTTTCTGCTGGCATTGTGCATGTTACTAGAAGTTGAAGGGTTAAGGGACAGACAACTTCCCCCCTCCCCCTAAACGAAAAACCTGCAAGTATTTAGACTGGAAATGCCAGCAGAGAATTGTTTTTCTTTCAGGAGAACAAACACTTGATTTACTTTTGTTGGATTTTTGTTTTAGCAGATTTCCAACAGTATGCTAAGAAAAGATGAAGAGGAGGAGGAGGAGGAAGATGAAGATGAGGAAGAAGAGGAGGAGGAGGAATTAGATGCTACTAAGGAAGTGAGATAACAAAACTATTCTAAGAGCCTTATTTTTTGATTGGGGGAAAAAAAAGATTTCCCTTTACATAAAGGCTTTTGTGTGTTAGTCAAAAACTTCACTGGGGCTGTATTTTTAAAATTCCAACAGGAGCAAGAATTGGCCCTAATAGTAGAGTGCCAGAAACAAATGATCAGTTTCAAAGAATGGAACAGAATCTGCTGAAAATGGACAATTTCAGTAGCTAGAAAATTCAGTATTTAAATAGAATCCTGTATTATATTTGCATAGATGTTATACTGCAGTCACATTTGCTTAAACTTACATGATGAACAGTGTCCAAAAACTGCACGAAGCTGACAGGCAGTTACAAACGTAAGGGTTTGCTTGCTACTTTGCCAATGTATTACCTTATTTGCTCGCTACACACCTCTTGGATTTAGTAAGTCCTGTAGCTATACCTGGCATAATTGGTTTTATACATCCTAAAGTAACTGTAGTACTCAAGAAACCGATTACAGCAACAATCCTGTTACATTTCACTTTGTTACCCACCTTGGATGGCAGAAGGCAGGGTGAGGTGTATTGTTTTCTCATTCTCATTTTCCTCGGGCTTGACTAAGATGACTTTTGATTTCTTCACACATACAGAATGAACATTAACAAATAAGGACCTAGCCCAGTATCTACTTTTAATGCTGCTTTGCTTTTAAATAAAAGTGCCTTCATAATAAAACTAGTTGATATTTTATATAGTTGACATTTATTATATTAGTTGACATGCTGTATGTATAGTTCAACTTTCATGTGTTTAACTGGTTCATTCAGTTACTGATTCCATCAAACAGACAAGAAATTACACATTTTGAGTGTAATTTCTTATCCTGTTTGGAGATGGTGGTTATGCACGTTCACTTTTGAATAGCATACAATTGTCTGCCAGAAAGCTGCTACCATACTGTTTATCTCCAGCTTTAGTATCTGCTAAATGTAGAAAGAACACATGTTTAAATCTAGAATTTAAACTTGTAACTGGGAAAAAAATCTGAAGTTATAACCAAATATTCTTTCAGTTAAGGAAATAAACCAGGAAGTGCATTTTTAATATTGACGCTGCCTTTGTCCACTGATGCGAAGTATGCAATGCATACTTGTTTCGACAGGTGGAAAAACAGGTTTTGCCAAAAATTAATGTGATGAAAATATAAGTGAAAATGTCACAATATAGGGTTCTGTTTAAAACCCAGAAAATAGTTTTACACCAGAATTACATACTATTGACATTGAACTACTGTTGACAAGGAGTAGAATACTAACGACCAAAACTTAAAAAGTATCTAGGTAACTAATCCCCATCTATTTCAGCGAGTAGGGCACTTCAATAAATATTAGTATCACAACATCAGAATTATGATGATCACCACTTTACCATTTCATATTCAGTAAAGTCATGTAATCCAAAACAGATGGTTAACTTCATGACTATGCCAGGTTTTTGTATAATACAGATATATGCAAATAGCAATTATTTCTGTACTATGCCTTGAAAAAGGAATTCTGAATAAAAAAGGAAGCAGTGCTTAGATTAATTCCCACTAAAAGATTAGTAGCTAGGGTACAGAAAAAGAATTTTTTATCTTCAGCAGCTTCAAATTCCTTCTCCTCCCCTACCTCAAAAAAAAAATCGACTTTAGGAATTACAGAAAAACTTACAGAAAGGGAGAAATATGGTGTTGGGCAACTTTGTCCTGCATATATGTCTTAAGTTTGCACGTTGGACAGAAATTGTGTGACCTCAAAACTACAGATGAAAAAGGTCACTGATTAATGTATTTTAAAGCCAGAAGAGGAATTTAGAATGTAATTACAAAATTAAATATTACCTAAAGATACTTCTGCAAAGATTTTTCTCATGGCGTTAAGTGCTGACTGCAAGACTGACAGTACTCTGTTTGTTCATACATATTTTTGACCACTGACACGTAGATGATGCAGGCTTGTATCCATTCTTGCTAAGAGTATTTTGCCACTCCGTTGAACATGCTGGCCCATCCCTTTGGGACTAAGGATTATCTTCTTGTACTCATCAGATTGTCATATGTTACGGCTTTCCTGAATGCCTCAAGCTGCTTCTGTACGTGATCACTACTACTAGTTTTTGATGACAGAGACTGTTCTCCTTTAAATCATAATTTCTGGACAATGGTAGCAAAAGCAACCTCAGAGTAAGCATAACTAAGGAAACTAGCTATATTCTGTATCAACACCACAAACTGCAGGATTGCCTTTGTTATTCTTTTACTATATGGATGGTACTTAGAAAGGAAGAACAATAATTCAAGCCATGTAATTATAGACTCTGATGTGTCCTTTATACTGAAAGTACAGTGCCTCCAAACCATTAAATATCTAAAGTTATAAACCCCTTATCAGGAAATGCTGTCACCACACCATGCACCTGTATCACCTCTTCAGGCAGAATCAGAATATAATGCCTATATATACACATCCCAATTTGGGGGGAGGAACCCAAAACACCAACCAAAACATACTAGCAAGATAACAGCTATAAACTGGGAATCAACTGTCCTGTTAACCGTCTTATTATTTAACTGATGTACTGGCATCCTTTCCTAATTTCCCTCTGCTTCAGATCATCTATGCATACTGTGAAGTACAGCTTTTGTCTTTATAGACCTTTAAAAAAACCCACTTTTTTGGCCTATCAATCAGACATTTCATAGAGTAACCTAGAGTAGTCATAAACTCTAATCTGGCTTTAAATTAAAGACAAATTAGCTATAGGGCAAACAAAAAACATTTTGAAATGCCTTAATTATGACCTCTGCCATTATAAGCTTCGTGACTCTTTTTATGCATTCACTGGGGGGGGCGGAAGTTCACCATCCCAAAAATGAATGGTACCTTACCAGCAATTACTCAAACTTTCTCAAGAACAGGTAATGCTTCTTCTAAAAGATAATCTCACACTTAACCAGCAAAATACTTACTAAATTCCCTTATCCTTCCAGCCTCCAAATCCTTTTTTTAATTACAAGAATTCATGTGTGTGTACCAACACTACTCTAGAAGCACAGTAAAAAGTTCACCAATTTATTGTCAGTGTTTGCAATCTCCTGTTGTGTAGTAGCTAGAAGAACTTTAAAACAAACAAATCATCTGAAGTTGATTAACTGGAAAAGTTACTTGCATTCACATTTCTAAAACAGCTGATACTACAGAGACAAGAATTAGTAGTAAAGATGTTAGCTTAAAAAAAAATCACGAAGTTTTCAACAGCATGATTAGGTCAGTCAGGTTTATTCTGAGGACTCTTGTAAAACTTCTTTATTTTCCCTGCAAGTCTTCTGACTCCTTGATCACTTTTATAGCAACTATGAAATAAACGCACCAATCTGTTGTGGATTTTTTTAATTTTAATTCCATTTAAATTCAGAGGAGGATTCAGAACAGTACGCTTCTGAAACTAATACCTACCAGACAGCAAAGAAAGGTATGTAAGTGTTCAGAATTTGAAAATCTGGCCACATTTAAGTTTCTTTGCTCAGAAGAATCTACACATACAGGCTTAGCGTTATCATTCTCATTCAAAATGCTTTTTTCCTAGCACTTAAAACAGATGACAAACAATATGCAGGAGAAATGAAGCTACACTGGCCTTTTAAAAAACACAGAATAAAAAAAAAATCTCTTGATTTTGTTTGCTTCTACTTAAAAGAGTTTATGTGGAAGTTTAGTAATGATGATGACTTTACATAAACAAAGTAATTAAGGTCGGATGAGGCCTTGAATAGCCTGTTCTAGTTGACGCTGCTTTGAGAAGGGGGTTAGACTAGAGACCTCCAGGTCCCTTCCAACCTCAACTACTCTATGAATCTATGATTTTTTTGGTATTGCCCAAGCAAAGGTTAAAACAAGTTTTCATCACCAAGTTGCAACTTTGTTGTCTTATGTTGAGAGGGGACTAAAACTTCATAGAATTCTTTAGAAGTCCAAGTACTATCTTGTACAGTTGCAATGTCAACAGTGGTACAAAGTCCTTATCCACACAACCAAAGTCTCTGACTAAGCCTGAATGTTGAAGATGCAGTTTTTCCTCAAACTGGCTAGCTTTTGTTTCTTCCCAAAATTTAAATATGCTGGTACCAAACCAATCAAAGCATTCTAAATACTGACATAAGCATTTATTTTCTTACATAAGAAAGTAACATAGTTGGTTGTCAGCTTGGTTGCCAGTGACAGATGTTAGTTAAAACTAATCAGAGATTGACCTGGAATGCATCCAGACATCATTAGCAAGTTAATATTCATATTACAAGCATGTGGAGATAAAATAAAGACCACTCCGAAAGCCCAGGCTGAAGTTGGAATTCTTGGTCTAATTCCAAGGTTCATTTTCTGTCTCAAGGTACTACAGTGAGTGAGGAGAACAAGAAAGCCTGTCCAACTGATTAATACAGATTTTGCAGTCTTTGTAAACCACGTATTCATTGCTGTGGTAGACAAACTGTAGTAGCATCATTCTCACCGAGACCCAGGTATGCTATGCTGAGCATAATAGTTGGGATCATTAACTATACAAGTTTTAAATATAAGACACACGTTTAATGGCAATTTCTTTTTTATTTAAAAAAAGTTGCAAAGCCAGCTAATGTGAACAGGAAGCTCTTTTCTCTTCTTTCAATAGGAATGCCTGCAACCACATGAAACCGAACAAAACCTGAACAGTTTACACAAAAAAAAACCCCATTTTTTAATTTTATTAAGCTAACCTCAGTAAGAAGCGTTATCTATTAATGCAGTAGCACTGAAGTTCTTCTATTTGAACCGTTTATGTGGTAAATCAACCAGCACTTACATTTTTATTTGATGCAAAGTCATGAGACATGGAATTACAGCAAACTAAAAAAAACCCAAAGCATTACAACTCCATGCCTTTACACCTTGATGTAAGACATTCAATGTCCTCCAGAATTTCTGGGTTCTTCTCTGCAACAAGAAGTAGGCACAATACAGTTCTCATATCTTAACCATACAGAGATTTCAACCAAGAGCTAAACAACTGAACTAGATATTATTTACAACCGTTGATGGAAACAGTTTCTTCTGCATCTTTCAGTAATTAAAAAACTGAAAATAACTGTCAATACTGTCAAATCTAGACTGTTTTATTCTAGAGCATCTTTTCCTCCTTTACAGCAAGCTCAACTTAACTTTCCGTGGACCAATTGGCCTATCATTCAGTTCATTAATAGCAGCCATAGCTTCCTCATAGTTTGTCATAGCAACGATGGCATCACCCGAAGGTAATCCTTGTTCGTTATACTGTACAGAAACTGACTCTGGTATGACTCTGTAGCCATAGAAAAAGTCCAGAATCTCATTAGGGGTAGCTTTAAAAGGTAAATTTTTCAATCGAATAGGAACAACACGTTCAGAACCACCACTGAAATTTGGATCCGGCATAAATCTTCCTTCAGGAAAACTTCCCATTTTATTATTCCCAAACTCCATTCTGCCAAAAGGTTCGCTGTCACCACCAAAATCCATGAGGGGTGGTGGACCTCTAAAATCCTTAGGAGGGCACATGAAGTCCTCAGGGGGGTGCCTAAATTCAGAAGGATGCCTGAAGTTCCCAGGGGGACCAAATGAATGCATGGGTGGCCCCTGTGGTGGCCCAGATGGTGAACCAACTGGACGGGAAAGCTCACCTCTGTTATACGGATGTGAATGACTCTGCATTTCATTTGGTGCAGACAATGGTACAGTTACACCAAACTTCTGCATCTGCTCTTCCGATATAAGTCTTATTAATACCTCCGTTCCCAAGAATCTTCGACGATTTAAATTTTCTGCTTTCATGGCTTGTTCTTCAGATTTAAACTTCACTAATGCTTCTCCCAGCCCAACTCCTTTGTCGTCATAGAGCAAGTAAATATCATCTTCATCAATATCAAATCTCGCAAAGAACTTTTGCACTTCAATTTTCGACACATCAAATGGAAAATTCCTTACATAAACACACATCTTAGGGCCAGAATGACCTTCCCGATAACTTTTTTCTGGTATGGCCTGTCCAGGATGATCTCTGTCCTGGGATCTTTTCCTCTCACAAGAATCAATTATTTTCAACATTGACTTTCTTGAAATTGGAAAAATGTAAACGGAACGATTGAGAAGAACCTTTCTATGACATTCCAAAGCAGCCTGATAATCTCTCTCACTCCTTAACATCACAAAGGCATCTCTAGTCCTCCTCTGATGCTTATCCGTTAGAAGCTTGATTTGTTTGCTGCATATATCCAGATCAGGGAAAAAAGCTCTCAAATCTCTCTTCTCCAGATTAGTAGATAGATTTCTTAAGTGTATGTAATATTCCTGGTTGGGAGGTGAACGAGACCGTGTTCTTTGTCTCCTTGGTGATCTTGAATGAGAATGCTTCCTTGAATGCATGTAGCCTGAACTTCTTGGAGAACGGTCTTCGCACAAAAAGCGATCGATTTCATTTGGCATGTCTACCCTCCCACCATATTCAATCCACCGTTCCTCTGTAGATGGGCTTATTTCTATAAACCTCTGACCCATGTATTGTCTATGACGTTTAAGTCCTTCTAAGGCATCACCAGGCGTAGCAAATTTTACCAAGCAATCACCATTGTTTAAACCATTGCGATGCTTTATCAGAATCACTCCATCCACATGTATCCCAGAAAGGAAAGCGCGTACTTCATCTTCTGTTGCAGAGTAAGGTATACCACGTAGAAATAAGTAAAGATCATCTGGGTTAAATGGATGAGAATCCTTTCTCAACTGGTAACTTGATTTAGGCATACCTATATCACCACGTCTTGTGCCATTGGTATGGAAACCAGCCTCCGGATGATTTGGTGGACCGTAACCAGGTTTACTTATTCCTTTTGGAAAAGCCGTGACTACATGTGGAATGTCTCCAACACCTGATGCACCAGAACCATTAGTACCTGTTCTTCTAGAGCCAGACATAGTTTCTCGTCCCCCACGGTCAAATCGTTTCCGGCTCATTTCTATGGTATTCTGCATTTCTGCCTTGCTGCTGAGAAAGAGCTCTATGCGCGAGTCCTTGATAAACCCTCCTGAACAGCTCATGGCACGCCGTGCATCTTCGTCTGTTGCAAATATAATAAAAGCCTCCCCAATCTCTCCTCCAATAATATGCACACCTCCATCAGGAATATTCAATCCCAAGAAGAAACGACGAATATCTGCAGGACCCGCAACAACAGGAAGCCCCTGTAAACGGATGACTACAGCCATGCTGAGCTCAACCCACAGCAAAAATCACCTGCAGACAAAAAGGTACACATGATAGCACGTCTTTAGTACTCAGCTATTACAGTATCTTAACACTTAAGAAGCTAGAGCCTTTTTAATGAATGTCCTTGTCTCAATCAAGAGAGAAGGTATCAAAAAGCCCACAAGTTCACAAGAACAAGATTAAAACAAGATTCACTAAAGTTGATTAGTCAGAACAGTTAGCTACTCCACCGGCACATGTGCACAAGTCTATCAATATTCCCTATCCTAAGGGCAACAAAATCCACCTAAGTCACTCCTCACCATCCACGATACCTAAAGAACACCTGAAGTCTTTCACGGCATAGTTACTGTATGCCAGACATCTCTGCCCAGTCCTAAGGAACAGAAAAAAAAAAATCCTGTTTACTTTTGAACAGGACACTTGTGATCGTAACACAGAAAATACTAGATGATAAAAGGAGAAAGGAAAAAGGATAACTACGTCACTGGAAAATGAAGTAATTCACCAAAAGTGATGACTTTACTGCTTTGACAAGTTGCTCTACCCAGTGATCAGTTCTGTTCAATAACGTATGTTTTCTCAGCGTTCAAAAATGTTGTCTCTTTCATGTAGTCAGAGTATTAACTGCAGCAGCCACATGCACTCAGGAGAGCATATCCTAGTTCCCAGCCACAAGTCTGTGAGAAAAAAAGGCCGTGTATGATCTTGTGACAATACTCAGTGAGAAGTGTTAAGCTTTTGGCAGCTTACCTGTTTCTGCTTTGAAGACCTGATAAATTCTGTAAAATCAACTTAACTGTGGAAAGAAAACGAAACATAATTAATGGCTGATATCTGTACTTCGCTTTATATACTGTGCTACACTGCTGCAGCTCATCCATAGCAGTGGCTAATATTAAAGCTGAGCCTGTAATGAACGCACAATTTGGGATACTATGAAGAACTCCTTCCATGTTCCAAGATGCTATGCACTGCATCTTTGCGTTTCCATTTTAGAAGTAAAAGAAATTCAAAATTTAAGTTGACTTCTGCAAATGATGAAAACACGATGAGATTATTTGGTCATCAGTTGTGCCACACTGAACTGTTGAAATGAAACAGACTGACAGTAAATCGAGGGAAAAACTCTCAGTTCAATTCTTTTGAGTCCTTGAAAGATGCGCAAGTCCATCTCAAGATTACAGTACGTGTCCATTCTTCTGAAATCCACCTGCTTTCAAAGTTCACAACAAGAGTATGCTACTCACCAGTCCAGCACTGCACTTAGTGTACACAGTGAAGACATTCAAATTAAAGAGCAAAAATATCCAACAAGGAGAAACTTCAGGGAGTACTTCAATTTACAAAGCAAATTTCAGTATGTTACTTGTATGTTTACTGCCTTTCAAACGTAAGAACAAGAATCACTTTAATACACTGACTTGAACATATCCTGATTTTCAACGTTACCTAACTTCACACAATACATTACACAGCACTCAGAAAAAACACAAGCTTCTGTAGCAAATGACTACATCACTTAAAAAAAAAACAGGAGCCCAATGCTCCAATGACAAGTGTTTGTGAATATCCCTTGTACAAACCCCTTGCTCAATAACAAACGTAAAGCACTAGATCCTGATGCCAAGTTATCTATTGATCACAGTAACTATCACTTCACCTGAGTTTAGCAATACAAGAGCAAAGCCCAAATTCTGTAACTAACGGATTCTACATCACTTCTACTTCAGCACTTTGTAAACACAACAAACCAAAACCAACTGCCTGCTTAATAACTGCACTGAAGATCATCTGCTCTCTGTATTTTTGTGGTGGGTTGACCCCGGCCGGCAGCCAAACACCCACACTCCTCATCCCCACCAGCGGGATGGGGAAGAAAATAGGAAGAACAAAGTCAAGAAAACTTGTGGGTCAAGATAAAGACAGTTTAATCAGTGAAGGAAAGAGAAAAAAGTGAAACAAAGGAAATCACTCACCACCTCCCACAGGCTGACTGACGCCCAGCCTGCCTCCGAACAACCACCACCTTGGAAGCCAATAAAAAAAAAAAAAAAATCGCCCCAAAAAACCAAAACAATCAAACAAAAACGTTCTTCTTCCTCTGCCTCAGATTTTGTTGCTGAGCATGATGTTACATGGTATGGAATATCCCTTTGATCAGTTTGGGTCAGCTGTCCCAGCTGTGTCCCCTCCCAGCTTCTTGCCTACTCCCAGTGTACTTGCCGGGGTGGCAGAGCTGGGGGGAAAAAGAGAAAGCCTTGACACTGTGCAAGTGCTGTTCAGCCATAGTCAAAGCACTGATATGTTGTCAACACTCTTTTAGCCACAAATCCAAAACACAGAACTGTATGGGCTGCTATGAAGAACGTTAACTCCATCCCAGCCAGACCCAGTACACTTTTTAATGTATCTTCTCAACAGATGTGACGGCAATGCCAAAAAGCAAGGAGAATTCAAGGGCAGAATTTTCTTATAGGACCTCCGTGTCTTGAAAAATCAAATCCGATGCCCTGCTACTTCATGATGTATTTAATCTGTAGTATTTCTGAATTTCATAACTCTGCATTCTTATCCCAATTTTTAAACAGCATTCAGAACAGATCTCCTCAGTATTTCTTCGGTGATAAACGGCAAGTTCTCCACGATGTACCATGGATACAACATACAACTTTCAGTGGTGAAAACTAGACACAGTGATTCCAGGTCATAATGTGATATTTAAGAAGTCCACAAACAGAAATGCAAGTTCAAATAATAGGCTTTTACTGACAATCGAGCATTGGTAGAAAGTATACACAAGCCATCCAACAATTTAAAGTGAATGACCAAAGAGAATGACTTTGGGATGAAAGTGCCACACAAAACTAGGACCAATTCATTAACTGAGCAAGGACTTCAGAGAACAAGGATTTAGATAATAAATAGATTGACAGCTTCTTGCCACCAATTTAAAAGCACAGAAGCGTGTACACCGCTTTAAGAAATTTTATATTTGAACCGAGTTAACTAGAAAACAGTACTATACCTATACTTCCGCAGCAAATTCCAAATGCCATTAAAACTTCACTAAAAAAAATCCCCAACTTGCAAACATTGTAGGAAACTAAGCCTGCACTAGACTAGTATTTTTACCACAACGTTGAGAGATTACATAGCCTGCATGCAGTGAGCACACAAGCTAGAAAGAACACCCACAGAAACATCCCAACTATAAAACTGCACCAATATGAGAATAACTGGTGGATCAGAAGACGACTTCTCATTCTATTCTTCAAAATAAGCCTTAACAGCCGAAGTAAGCTGTTGCTAATGACCGTTTTCACATCGCTGAAGGAAGATGCGGGTAAGCTCTGCAGCTGGGCCCGCTACACGGCTGGCTTGAGCACGGGGCCGCTTCCCAGCGCTGCGAGCTGGAGAAAGGGAAGCGCCCCGCCGCCGGCAGCACCGCTGGAGGGCCGGCCCGCACCGGCCC